GGGAATATTCGGTCGTCTATTTTGGTCTAATCTAACTGGTTTGTGTGTTTGCACGGTTGCAGCCTGAAGAGATGACCCGATTGCGGAGTCTGAACAGACAGCTTCAGATTGATATCGACTGTACCCTGAAGGAGACAGATCTAGTGCAGTCTAGAGGTATACATACACAGACACGCACAGACACGCACACACGTGTCACATGCACACACACAGACACAGACACACACACACGTCACACACATCACATGCACACACATAAATGCACAATCCTACACATAAACCTTTGAAGTGTGTCTCTGATTTATTTGAAAGCATTGATCTTGAAAGAGCCAAGCCCAGAAGCAGACAGAGTTGGGTCCAAAGTGATGGATGAGGCTCCATCAAACTGCATACAGATGCAGCGTTCTAAAATGACCGGCTGGTCCGTGACAGGACCCAGGCCGATCCAGGGTTGACCCTCAATGGGCCCGTGCACAGTGTTTGGCTGGTACGTGATCCTAGTTGATTACGTAATTGATAACAGCATTGGCTCGAATGCCACTAATCAGAGTGTGTGTGTTTATTAGTTGCAGTGCTTTATATATTTACCAGGAGTTGTGTTTTTGGAAGCTGAAACTGTCTAACTGGCAGCAGGCTCAAGAGTGTGACCAATTTACTTACAGTCAGCCCAGTGCCACCAAACATTTGGGCTGTGGTCTTCCTGGGAAATTCCTGGAGCATTCTTCTGCTTTGTTTCAGTCTTCCAAATGCCTTTTGGCAAACGAGATATCATGTATAAGAGTTGTTTTTAACACTCGTTTTCTCTTTGCCACTCTTCCATAAAGCTGCGAAGGGTGAAGCACCGGGGCAGCACAAGTCTCTTCTGAGCTTTTTGAACGCTGGCTTCACTCGCCAGTGCCCTTCTTGCACTAGCATGGTTTTGAGGATGGCCTGCTGCAAAAAAAATAGATTTTCTGGGCAGCATTAACTTGAACTCTTAGGGTGAATTGTAATACTTTCGGTGTTAACCAATGCAAGTACGTGTCTTTATATATATATGTTTGGTATTTTGGAGGCCAGCTTTCATACAGTAGAACTAGAGCACTTTGCTTGCAGAAAATTCTACCCATTTGCAAAACAAATGATCTGATTGTAAGCCTGTAGTTGTTAGACCTATATATTTTTTTAATGATGATAAAGCTACGCACAGCGTACTTAAGCAGACAGTGAAATCCCATGTTGATAACTGTGTCAAATCTTATTTGGGGAAAAAAAGCCTCCTTTTGGCTATATAAACACTCAAAAAACAGCGGGCTTCCTTATTTCATTATGCAGTTGACTTAAATTCTTTTATCTCGAGTCCAAGTGAATACGTGCCAGAAAGAGCCAGGCGCCATCTTCTGGCAAAAATGTGTAAAATATATATGTATATTTTGGGGGGGCTTTTCTGTCTTTACTTGACAGGATAACTGAAGGTTGGGGAGGAAAGGGGATGAGACGCAGCAAAGGGTCGCAGGTCGGACTTGAACCTATGGCCGCTGCAGCAAGGACTGCATAAAAGTTGTGGGAATAGTTCTTAAATTGCCTCATTTATTGCAGCATCAGTGACTGAACTTGTGGCCGGTCAAATGAAGCGCTGCATTAACAAAACGCATGGGGCTGCATTGTTTTGGGCGTGCTGCGCCGGCTGCCAGTGAGATGATTAAATGCAGTCCAGGATGGTCAGGTTTGAGTAATGGATAACTACATTTGTACAGTGTATAACACTATGAGACAGCTAGCCAGATGATGTTTCAGTACGTTGCTGTAAAAATTGAGCTAGGTTCAACTTTTTTGCTTGTTGACCCTGTACTCTGGATTTGCTGGAGTCCTCTGCGTTGCAATGAATTGAAAGGCTGTTATTGTCGGTCTGAGCATGACAGTCAGGCTCGAAAAGACTGGCTGGAAACTGATTGGACATCTGGCTGGGATGGGCACCCAAACAATCTTCTGTATCTGATTTCTGCTTTCCTCCACAGGGAAGTTTGATCCAAAAGCAATGAACAACTTTTATGACAACATTCAGCCTGGTCCAGTAGTGCCACCCAAACCTGTGAGGAAAGGTAAGAATTGTCCGGTGTAGGTTTCAGAACATAAGTCAGTTATACATTCTCATAAGGTTGTGTAAAGAAAAGAAGAAAACTTTATGTTCTTAAGCGTAAAATCATACATTGATACTGTTGCCAAGATACAGATTGAGTTTCAATGCAAGGCCATTCAGGTCATTACTTAGAGTATTTGAAACAATTTTGTTTGAAAACCGAGACTAATGGCTTAACTGACTGTCTGTGTTGATCTCCACAAATCTGTTGGCATGGAAACTAGTTGAGAAACCTTGCCCTTTACTGAATGGCCATGTCTGTCAACATTTATACTGAATGGTGTGCGGCATGCATGAATGTTCTTGAGTGACTGCCATGGTTAGTTCCAGCTCTGAGTTGATGACACTTTAATTGTTGTTGTGTTAAGCACTTTATCACAGGAATAAATCAGCATTTTTTTTATATACTGCTTCTCTGTTTTTTGTCAGATGCGGAGCAGGGCTCCAAGCCAGTGCCAGGGCCCCAGAGGGACGAGGACTTTGAAGGCGCCCAGTGGAATTGTGAAAGCTGCACCTTCCTCAACCACCCTGCACTCAACCGCTGTGAACAGTGCGAGATGCCACGCTACACCTGAGCTAAGCACTGTGCTGTATTGCCCACCCCTGCCCCAGTCCCTGCCAATCCTTGGATAGTATAAGCCCCATCCCTCCTAAATCTGCAGAATCTAGAGGTCTTGCCCTGTCAATCAATATATAAGTCCCTCTTACCTGCTGAGGAAGAGCCACTATCCCTCTCTGCCCACTTCTCCTGCTCCCATCTACTACTCCTGTGCACTTTGACCCTTGTTTCCATTGGCGGATGATGATTGTTTTTTGTGACAGCTGAAGACTCTTCTCATGTCAAATGTATAAAAGAGGGAGTGACACACAGCGACTCTGGCAGCGGGTGGGTCTGGGCTTCAGAAAGGTCAGAATGACCGAGGATTGAAGAGGAGGAGCTACGATTTAGTTAGAGAACATTCCACGCAGAATGAGTGACACACTGTTTACGCATCTGCGCCCATTCCTGAACTCAAAATGGAGACACCTCCAGGACTTGTAACTCCCTCTCTGACAGTGGAACAATAACAGCAATGGTATATACGTTCAAATGCGAAATGTAGACTGTACACTGTATCTGGCTCTGTATTAGAGCTTATTTCACTGAAAGAACACTAAAGACATTTGCATAGGAGTATATTCCTGGTACTTTTATGCATATTAAGCCACCCTGTATTATGTGTTCAAATGATGTTGATTTCCTGTGCAAATGCCTCAACTTGCTGTACTTAATAAAGGAGCTGATTCTATGTGACTTGACCACGCACAGCTGGCACATCTGCACGGTTACTAGGTACTCCGTTTCCCCAAATGAACCAAACACACATTTTTTGTATTTTTTTTTTACCAGTAGATCTTTATTATGTTAGTAATGAAGCCAGTGGGAATCAGAAACACAGCAGCAAATGGTAGTGGCATGCACACACTCACTTCCACTAATGTTGCAAGGGGGGAGTTCCTGATCACCTCGATGTTTGATGAATGATGTTTGAGAAGACTTACTACCAGAGCACATCAGTACAGGTCTTCTGCTGCCACACGTCTCTCCTCTCAAGACCACACTTTCCTTTTTCAGTTTAGAAACTTTCCATGTTTTTCTTGATTCCATAACACTACTCATGCACATTGCACTCTAGCATCTCCTAAAGTACTTTCTCATGAAGCTTAACTCAGATGCAAAAACTAAGTATGCTGAATTCTTCAAAAACTACAATGATTTTCTGCTGCAGCCTCTTGTTTTCTGAAGCAGAACATTCTTTTTCTGAATGGTGCTTATTCTACAGAGAGAAGATAAGGAGGCATCACATGGGGAGGTGTATGAGCACATGCTGGGTGGTATGATCATGCAGATATGCGCACACACACACTCAGCAGACATGGTCATTTGCCATTTTCCTTCCCACTGGTCTTCTTGGAATATAGGTTTATTATGCTTACTGCACATACTTACATATAATACAATAATTTTGTTTATCAAAAAAGCAGGTATAACTCAAGTTACGCTGCAGATTTACATTATGCAGCCAAACGGTTCACCAACTCTGTGCTATTCATTAACCAGTAAATGTTCCTCTCACCAGTATGATATCATTTAGAAGGTAGCTGTGGAATGTTTTTACTGTCTTAGGTAGCCTATGTTTATTATGAATATCTTAGAGCCTTTTAATAGACTCAAAAAAATAAAGCCAGTCCTTTGGAGCCTTATGACATGCTTTCACAAAACTATTACACTCTACAATTGGAAAAAGGCTAGGCCAAGTTCCAGATGTAGTGTATCTCTGAGGAAATGCGGCATTTTGTATTTCCTTAGGTGTGCCCTGTCTTCCTCACTTTGTCATCCTCAGGATATCACTTCAATAGGATATTTTCCTCCCTGAATCCGTTACTTCCCTGATTGGCCTGAGTTTACGTCATTCTTTGCCTTCTCTACTCTGATTGGTAAATTAGTCCACCAATTCGTCCTGGTATGGGGTCAGTGAATCCATCTGTTCCCTCCAGATTTTCTGCCCAAATCTAAGACCTACTGGAGTTCCGCTTAAAGGGGACGCAGACTTCTCTGAGTGGTGACATTCACTCCCAGATAAAACTGTCTGGTTTGGGTTTCTTTTTCACAGCCGGGTTTGCTGCCAGAAAAAGAAAGCACGGGACTCTGGTCCAGTGAGTGAGGATAGTCTTTCAGATAATAAGTTCACAGTATCAAATGGAAGAGCTCATTTCCAGTCCTGCCACTAACAATAAGCATTTTGTTTATTCCTATTTTTCTAGTCTGTGGTTGTGCACTGTGTAACAGACAGAAAGTTCCTATTACTGAGAGGACACTGGGTGAAACAGAGAGTCTCAGTTTCTCGTCTTGTCTTGCATATTTTAGTAGTAGTCTTCATAGTTCTTGGGATTGAGGCAATAGAGGATGGCTCCTCCAAAAGAGAAGATGGTGGATCCCCAGGCAAGCCCGTAGCCCCAGTTAAACTCGTGATACACCCTCAGACTGACTGTCTCTATGAACTTGATGGGGAACAGGACCAAGCTGCACACCTGGAGCACCACTGCAGAGGAAAATGTGAAAGACAAGTTACTCAAAAAGTGTGGTAAATACATACAGAATGATAAAGATTAAAACAAAATGAGAGGCATGGCGCATGGCACATGCCTTGGATCTTTCCCCCTGACAGCCAACATACCATAGACATGTTTTTATTGGAAGCTGGACAGACATTTTGTGGTATTTTTGGACTATCCTTTTCTTCCAGTGAGAAACAATCTGTTCACGTACCTGCAGAGAACAACATGACAGCCACAGGCTTGTAACAGCGACTCCTGGAGCTGAAGCACAGGGAGATCAGCGCCACGAGGAAGGAGAGCAGGGTGAGGGCCGCCCCCCCCAACAGCAGGGCCAGTGTGGCGATCTGCCAGTCTGAGACAAACACACACAGGGACAGAGAGGAGGGGGTGGGGTGGGGTGGGGTAGAGGGAGGGGTGAGGGAGGAAAGGCATGAAATCACACTGAGATAGAGAGTGACATAGGTAGCTAAAACGGGGGTTACTCTGGAGAGCCGTGTCTTTGCTGTTGACAGGAGGCAGGGACGTGGATAGATAGACGAGGAGGGATAAAAGAGTGGAGGGAGGAAGCAGAATAGGTCACAGGCCATGTTGGTGAGCCACGGTAACACTGCCATGCTCAATCTCACACAAGAGTAAAATGATTCCTCTCACTAAAGTTTGTGGCGAATTACCGCAGTGTAAACAAACTATTTGCGGTTCAGAGACTGAGACAATTCCTCATGCATATTCTGAGAAGCAATGGCTCATAATGTTTTGACATGAACCGCTGGGGGGGGGGGATCCATGGCCAGTGGCAGTAGAAGAATGTGAACCACGCGGCGAATAACTCCTCAAAGCTTAGCGCAGCAGTTTGTGGCTGACAAGAAGCAAACAAACACACACACAAACGCCTGGCTACACACAAGATTCCAGCGGGTCTGTAATGGATCCTAATGCAGCAGAAAGGCAAAGTGATTCTGTGAGGTGACTCAGATAATGAGTATCCCTCTCTCTTGGCCGGTGCCAGCTCAGCAGCATTCTCAGCATTTCATTCAGATTTACTCCAAAAACACTCGACTGGAAATAACTGCCGTCTCGATCTCGCTTCCCTATGCTTGTTGGACAGTAGGGACAAAACTGGGAAGCCTCTACGTTTGAAAGAGGAAAAATGATAGTCAGATTTTTATTTGCTTCGTGCAAAAGAAAAAAAATCACATCAGCAGAAGAATGTGTTTAAGAACAAAGTTTGTTTTAGACTGAATTAGCCATGGGATGTTAACTGAGGACTGTTGAGAGACAAGCTGTTGTTTGTGATTAAACGTCTCTGTTTCGTAGCTTTACTGCGTACTCGTGGAAACAGGAGGTCCATATGTAAACAGGCAGAGGATATTATGATGAGGCATTTGATTACACGAGAGGAAATAATTTAAAGTACAGTGGGTGAAAAAAAACAAACATCAAAGCATTACGGGGGCTGTGGATAAGTGATTCAATATTACAGTGGGTGGAAAAGTTTACACTGAAAGACTTTAGTTTATGTTTAGTAATATGTTTTGTCTTTTTTTAGTTAGTATACACGGAGCCCAGGAAATAAAAAATAAAAAGATTAAGCATTGCCAAGAATGTTTCCTCTCTATTGAGGCAGAAAATCATTAAAACATTCACCCGTGGAGAGAAAGTGACGGAACATAAGCTGCTTAAAATACAGTTCCCACTCGTGTTGGAGGGAAACTTTATTCCAGGGGCCAAGCAGCTCAAATATAAACAAACATCAACTACTTTTGACCAAACATGGTCCAGGATTTAGAGTTTAAAAATGGGCCCTGTCACCACAGGATGTTGGAAAGAGCCCACAAAAAGCAGAGCACCCGCTCCCCTCCAGCCTCCAGCTTGCACAACATGAGGCCCCCTTGAAGACCAACCCCTTGACTTTCTCTGCCACCGCCTCACTGGCTGCCTCTCAGGAAAAAAAAGCCACCGTGATTTGACCTGTAGTTGTCAAAGCCCCACTGGTGGTGAGATATCTTCTCTAGGTCAGTGTGGTGCCTTCAGCTCAGCCAGTCTGCGATCGAAAGCCTTATCAGTGCACCCATGAAACAGCAGGATGCAGAGAGTCATCTCATTTCAGATTTGGAACAGACCCTGTACGCTGTGCAAGAAACACAGCCAGAGTCAGAGTGCTTAAAGGCTTTGACGAGCAGGAAGCGCCAAACTATTAATCTGAGCCCGGCGTGATGACAGATGGAAAAAGGAGATACAGTACACAAGATCCAATCTGAGCATTAATTATGGTCCCATGTGTGCCTGTCAGGGGTAGCTGAAGTGTTAATCGAAAAGATCCTTCAGGGCCCCAATTCTGTTCCTTTGTCTGAGACAATGGTGGAAGATCTGTGTCACAGAGGAGCCTCGAGTATCTCTCTTGCTGTCACACACACACTGTATCACTCACTCAAGGCAGCAGGATGGAGAAGTTTAAGAAGCAGCGATATCTTCCACCAGAGGCCCCAGGTTCAAGCACCCAGGGTCCGTTAGCGCGACGCTGAACCTTAACTCGCTTCCTGTAGCCAACGCTGTGCTGTGGCCTCCTTCAAAGAGAGGACACACACCCAAATATGGGATCGATAGCGTGTTGCATTATTAATATGCTTTGCGATCACTGCGTCTCACTGAGCTGGACTCGCTCACACTCTGGCTCCACATTCGGCCCTTCATCTCGCACAGACCTGGCATCCACACACGCTGCTCTTGCACGACTGTTCCACATTCCTAGCCCTGTGTCAGGTCTGTATCTTTTATACTTGACCCCGACCCTCTGCTTAAGTGTGTGTGTATGAGACACACTGAGAGAGGAAGAGTTACCATTTTCGTCTGTATATTTTAAACACTTCATGCAGATGTAGCAAGGCGATATGTCATGTCTACTTTCTAATTCACACTGCATATTATTCCCAGACACACACACATGCAGGCCTTGCAGAAAAAAGCTCAAAACATCTGAGCGGCCAGCTGGTGTTTCAAACTAACAGGATTTATTTAATGCCCAGAGCATGACACCGAGGAAATATTGGGGGGCTGAGGAGGGGGGTAGAAACTGATTACTGGGATTCAAATCAATAAGCCCAGCCAAGCACAAGCCGGGGGAAATGGGCAGTTTGCTGTGTGCATTTACTCTGGTATGCTTCTGCTGAGAGCTGACACGGAGACTGCATGTCTTTATATGGCACCAAAGTGCACTTTGTCTGCGCTGACAGAGGAGGATCGGGGGCCAACGTGACCCACAGTTACTCATCTCTCAGACAGAAAGAAAACATTTTGTCTGACGAACAAAAACACAATTCACCACTCAGCACACAGGAGGAGGTCAGAGGCAGCAAAAAGCCAAATATATATATAGCAGCACACACACACACACACACACACACACACACAATGGAGGCGCTGTAGTTGGGAAGCCAGTCTGAGATAAATCTATGTAAGATTTACCCTCATTTTACATCTGCTGCAAAGGTTAGACAACGTTTAGGCGGATAAAAATCACACAATATATTCACACAATATTAAGCGCTACATATATTCAGTTATAGTGAAATCCTATTTAAAGCCTTGCAGTGAATCCTGCCTTTAGTGAGCTTTGAACTTTTTGTTTTTCTCGTCATTTTTGAGGCTTTAGTTTGTGGTGTTTGACCTGCACTGGATTATACTATAAAGTGTTCCTCCTATTTTGTCCACTTTACAATCCAGTGTAACCTAACACAGCAATATCACAAACTATGGCCTCTAAAAACGGGGCCAGTGTCTCAATAAAATAAAAAAAAGGCACATTATAAGCGTCACAAATTGCAGGGAAGTTGTTGCTGATTGCATTACACTTTTTATAGATGTCAGGCATAAATATCATGATTGAAATTGATTTAAAAACACTGAATGGCCGGCTGTGGTGGAAATATGAAATGTTTCCATAAAAAAAAAAGCCTTCATGGAGACTTAATGGGGAAAATCAGCATTACTGGAGTGCTTCACTTGTTTCCCTGGTTACTAATCTCCAGGCATCTGGATCTCTGGGGAGTTCTCTGCTCTGAGTTGCTCTGCTCCTTGGCCGGTGAAGAAACCCACACAAAGGCTCATTTTGTGCGCAACAAAAGGCCAAATGAAACCCCAGCTGGACCGCTCCTGGCGAGGCAGAATTCCCACATCATTTAGTGGCGCACTGGGCAAATGTTTCAGAGACAAAGTTAACTAGATAGAAAACCAAAGGTGTCGTATTCATCAGACTTTAAGACTCAAGGATAAACTTTTTCCCTTTTTCCCCGTACACTCGATTATTTCCCACTTTAATGTGCAGCCCATTGTTCGCTATCTTATTTCATGCAGAAAAGTTCTGCAGTTTAAATTAACCAGGCAATAGCTAATTATAAAGTAATTAACATTTAGCACTCTCCTGGGTGATGTTTTATAATTCTCACCCACAGAACAGATTGGTTCAGCAGTGCACTGTCTGCAGGGATCCTTTGTTACCCCTGAGCGCTGTGCATCTCACTTTCATTTGAATATGAATGTGAGTGTCTGTCTGCACCCCCGAATCCTGCCATTTTCAAGGCTGAAACATCCCTAAACCTAGAACAACCCAACTGGTTTTAAAACTTCCAAAACAACATGGTGGCGCATCACATCACCCCCCCACCCATCAGCCACCATAAGGTCTGTCTCACCGGTGGTCAGCGTGCTGTTGCAGGACCACTCCTCGGAGCTGACGGGCTTCCAGCAGGACACCCACATGGACAGGTAGTACTGGTCGTCCGCCGTGACCCACGCCGGGCTCAGCACGGCCCCGACATCCAGGCACAGGGCGAGAAAGACGCACACGAGTCCCACCAACTTCAGGGGCGTCAACGTCGACACCCGGACCTCCTCTGTGCCGCTCACGGATGAAGCCATATCTGAAGTATCTTACTCATTAAGAAAAAGAAGAAGTAGAAAAAAAGAAGATGTTTGTGTGTTTTCCTGGCTCGTTCCTCGAACCCCCCCCCAAAAATGAGTCAGGTTGAAGTTGTGGTTGTCCTCCTCCTCTCCTGCTCCGTGCCCGTGCTGTGGGTAGCAGGATGGAGAGCCGCCGCTCGCTCCGCGTCCTGAGTCCAGAGGACGCTGCTGCCGCTGCTGTAGACCAGCGCTCTGCGGACGGGACTGTGCTGCAGATCACTGAAATAACACAGCGCTGCACCTGCTGGGTCCTAGTGCCTAGACCCGCTCTTACACAGCATCTCTCTCTCTCTCTCTCTCTCTGTTAGTCCTCATATTCACTGATGGAGGAGTAAAAAAAAGTCAACAGGAGTCAGTGAGATCTGTGGCTTATACATTCATGGTTGGTGGTGTATGTTAACAATGCTCCTTGAAACAGTCTGATTTGCACAGTGTAGGTGCTATGGAAGGGGATGTAATAAATGTTTTATAGTCAACTTCTTTGTAGGGTTCCAACAAGCAGAAGTGCTGATTCCACAGCTTTCATCAAGGCCAAATATATCAGAATATAATGCAACCCCCCCCCAACTTTATTATTATTAAAGACCTTTTTTTTTCTCCCAAAAGATTTTAGCAAGCCACATTCTTCATTGGCACTATACAAACCTTAACCTATTTTCCTACAAAGCCTTTTGTCTGTGATTTTCAAAAGGCAACTGGGAAATGAAGACACCACTGAAGTGAAGTAGATGGAAAATGGGGGCACTCAATGGTTGTTGTACTGAACATGACAAACAGACATCAAAATATTATATTTCACGCAGTTACAACATCCTCTATGGATTAAACTGAGATCTTTATAAACTTTAAAAGTTTATTCTTGATTTCAAGGTTTGTTTGGATATTGTGGTGCCTAAAACAGTACAAATGAAATTGTGATGGATATGTTGGTTTAGAGGTTTTGCTGCTGTGGTCTGGGAGAAAAAACCTTGTGGAATATTAGCAACATGCAGGACAGACAAGTAATTTATCATTTTTCCTCATTTAACTTACACCCATGGATAAGCATTCGTTTCAGTGGGTTCACCTTTTAACTGCCTGCTGTTCCCTTGCGACACACTTTACCCTACTTCTTTTCTCCTCTGTTTCTTCAGGTAATACTTTGTTTAACACCCCATTTTCTCTCTCTCTCTCTC